GTAAAAAAGAACGGGCGACTGTCAGCAGATGAAATAAGAAAACTGGAGCCAGGATCTGTTAGGAGAGAAGTACCTAATGACATCACATGACACAATATGACATCATTACTTTAGACTGTACAACCTGAAGCTTATGAAGGAGTCATAGTGAGACCAATGAAGAGTTCTGACAGCTCAGTGAGTTATTTATTTATTATTATTATTATTATTATTATTATTGATGCATGTAGGATGAATATGAAGGTCTAATAAAGCCAGTGTTAGATATTCCATTGGTTGGTGGTGAGTGTATCCCTTACAGTTTCACTAGCATCAGTGACCACAAGATATTACTACAAACTGGAGAAACAGTACGACTGTTATTAACAGCTGATTATAACATTAATATTAATTAACAGGTTAATTTTCAGTTGGGATACAATGAGCTGAGTGGGACTTACAGAGCAGTTAATATAACAAACAAGAAAGAGTTAATGAGAGGAACGGTTGAACGTATCAAAGACCAAGTGAGACCTAGTGTAGTGTAGCACAGTAGCATAAGTCAAAGGGTCAACTGTATATTGACCCCACCCATAGCCTAACCACCTAATGTTAACTGTGCATGTACCTGTGTTGACCCAATTTTCTCACTTGACATGAATTACTAGTATGGTAAAAGTCACATGATCCAATTTTCTCACTTGACATGAATTACTAGTATGGTAAAAGTCACATGATTAATGAGTTTGCAACTGTATTAACTGTAATGACTGGACCAGGACTGGTTCTTATTGTCATCCATTTATTAGTTTGGTTTCATTAATTATAAAGATGATAATGGAGAAACTATTTCTGTTTTCTTTCACAAAAACTCAATGTCAGGTAATGTGTGTTTGGTTTGGGTGTGGCTTCATTTCCTTGCAGATGGCTGTGAATTTAGTGAATTAAGTTCAGGAGATGAAGTCCAATTTAAGACAATGTTCAGTCAGAGGAGTCAGAAAGACAGTGCCATTTATGTTAAGAAAACAACAACTCCCCAAGGCAGACCAGAGAGACTACGCCATGGCTCAACTAAAGGATCTTCTGCTTTAGTGTATGTTTCTATTGTTAGTAACATTACATCATAGTGTGTCTATATTTAGAACTGTTGTTCGGCAACCCAAAGGTCCTGATGGTAGTGTAGGATTCATGTAAACCTCCTCCTCTCCATTGCTGACCTGACACACACATTAAGTTAAAGAAACAAGCTCTAGAGACTACACAAAATGCTTTTACAAAAAAATAACAATTCAATTATTATTTTTTATAATTGATTAATTAATTCTAGTCCCCTGCCACTCTTTCCTGTATTGTTGATAATCTATTGTTACTAATAATAACACCAAACTGTTGTTACTAATAATAACACTGAACCATTGCTATTTCATTGGTCTTTGATTGTACAATGAGAAGTTAGGTGTGGTCAAATGAACTGACCCAGGACTACTATCATCATCTTGTTCTTGTTCTCTATTATTGATCAAAAATCTTTTAGGAATAAATATTTCAAACCAAGCCTGAAATAATATTAATACAATAAAATAATGATTAATCCCTACTTTATAATGATTGTTGACATCAAGTCCAACTAGAGAATATGGCCATTGGATTAATCCTAAATGCACTTGGCACAACCTCAGGTAATCAGAAAATGTGTCACACAAGAAATGACAATTAAGAGCTAAATCAATCAACCAAATTCCTCTAAATAATGAATCTATTCAAGTAATAAATAATGGCCATAATTAGTAAATAATTAAAGTCAGAATTGACTTAAAACATTCTACATAGCATAAGGACATTGATATGTATCAGAAAATATAATAAAAATTTGGGGTGGTTTCAGAGCCATTTTTTGAAAGAAAAACCATGGGCTATAGCCTTGGGTATTTTTCAGAATTTTGGCATTTTTAAAAATGGCCATAATTTGAAAAATTGAAGT